CCCAGCAACGTTAGTACTAAACTACAATTCAGAAAGAGACAAAAAAATAAACAGCATCACCTTCCACAAAAGAAACAGTCCTGAAATGGACCGGATGGAGTAGCCAATCTCCAGAAGCACTGGGTTTTCTCCCAAAACTGGCACTAAATGCACTGAAGAGACTGGGAACAGAAGCTGTAGAACACTTGGAATAAAAGCTTTTTCTGTGACAAGTGCTATGCAGAAATTCACTAACATCAAAGAAATGCAAGAAAGTTTTTTATCTTCTGTTTGAAGTTGAAATTAATTAGATTTATGTCTGTAAAAATTCATATTAGATTTGCTTTAATGTATCCTTTAAGATTTGTCTTTTTGTCTGCCTCTTTGCCCTACTTTGGATTGAGAAAAGATAGTACTGACCCAAAAGATAAAGATGTAGGAGAGTAAGTGAGGATTCATTTACTCAGCTCAACCAACAGGCACTCTTAAAACACTTCAAAAATGAGAGGAAAATGGCCCTGGCAAGCATTTCAGGTCAGGATAAGATTTTCAAGATTTTAGAACTTTGTTCAGCAAAACTAATGGTGCTTCAGAAACATGCATGTGCTTAAAATCACCACTGAAGGCTTAGCTCACTTCCACTAGAGATTTATTCTGGAAAGAAGATACAAACTTTTTGTTTTCTAGTTGGAAATAATCATAAGTGAATGGTGCGATGCTTTTCTGAATAATCAGAGATCTTTAAGTACTGACAGGTTTGTAAGCGGGTACAGGGAACAAAGGGGGAAAATTCAAGTGATTTGACATTGCTGCTATTCCCATCAGCAAGTTTATTTTTCTTACTACTGTTTGGGAAGCTGAGAAGCACCAGCAAGGATGAAGAAAAGGCTGAGGTACTTAATGTCTTCTTTGCCTCAGTCTTTAATAAAAAGACCAGTTTGTTCTTGGGGTACCCTGCCCCTTGAGCTAAAAGACAGGGAGCAGAATGAAGCCCCCAACATCCAAGGGGAAATGGTCAGTGACCAGCTACATCAGTAAGATACACACAAATCTATTGGGCCAGATGGAATCCACCCAAGGGTATTGAGGGAGCTGGCAGAAATTCTAACTGAGCCACTTTCTATCACTTACCAACTGTACTGGATAACTGGAAAGGTCCCTGTTGACTGGAAGTTAGCAAATGTGATGCCCATCTACAAGAAGGGATAGAGGGAGATTCCAGGGAACCACAGGCCTGTCAGCCTATCTGATGTCAGAGCCAGGGAAGGTTATGGAGCAGATGATCTTGAGTGCCATCACGCAGCACATCCAGGACAACAACAGGACCAGGCCTAGCCAGCATGGGTTTATGAAAGGCATGTCCTGCTAAGCCAACCTTACCCACTCCTACAGCTAGGTGACCTGCTTAGCGGATGAGGGCATGGTTGTGGATATTGTCTGCCTGGACTTAATAAAGCCTTTGATACTGCTTCCAACTGCATTCTCCTGGAGAAACTGGCTGCTCATGGCTTTGACAGGTGCACCATTTCATGAGTAAAAAAACTGTCTGCATGTCCAGGCCCAGTGAGTGGTGCTGGATGGAGTTCATCCAGCTGGCAGCCAGTCACAGGTGGTGTTTCCCAGTGCTCAGTGTTGAGGTCAGTCCTGTTTAACAGCTTTAATAACAATCTGGAAACCTGCCTGGGCTAAAAGGACCTGGGGGTGCTGATTGACAGTGTCAGAACACAAGCCAGCAGTGTGCCCAGGTGGCCAAGAAGGCCAATGGCATCTTGGCCTGTATCAGCAATAGTGTGGCCAGCAGGATGAGGGCAGTGATCTTCCCCTCCACTCAGCATAGAGGAGGCCGCACATCAGTTCAGTTTTGGGTCCTCTCCCTACAAGAAAGACACTGAGGTGCTGGAGTGAGTCCAGAGAAGGGCAATGGAGCTGGTGAAGGGTCTGAGAATATGTCATATGAGAAGTGGCTGATGGAGCTGCAGTTGCCTAACCTGGAGAAAAGGAGGCTCAGGGAAGACCTTATTGCTCTCTACAACTATCTGAAATGAGCTTTGTACCCAGGTGGGGGTTGGCCTTTCCTCCCAAGTAACAAGTATCCAGGCAAGAGGAAACAACTTCAAGTTGGGTCAGTGGAGGTTTAGATTGGATATTAGGAATAATTTCTTTATGGAAAGGGTTGTCGGGCATTGCAACAGGTTGCCCAGGGAAGTGGTTGAGTCCACATCCCTGGAGGTATTTAAAAGATGTGTAGATGTGGCACTCAGGGATGTGGTTTAGTGGTGCACTTGGCAGCTCTGGGTTAACACTTGGACTTGGTCACCTTAAAGATATTGTCCACTCTAAATGATTCTACATCTCTATTCTAAGCAACAGCAAAGCAGACTCTCATTTTTCATTACTCTGATTACATTTCTCTGCTTCTCTGGTACCTTGGTGACATGCTGTAAATGGCTTAATGCAATCCCTACAGATCTTGAAAACACTCAAGCAGAGAGGTGCAAGACAAGTGGAAGAGACTTCTTTTGTTCCAAATGTGACCTACCAAAAGAGTAGCAAAGTAACATGTCCTCTAAATCCTACCTGTCTGCCAGCTCAATATATGCAGGCAGAAGAAGAATAAAGTTCTTCTTATCCCTTTCTCTGAAGAAAAGCTTGATTTCAAAGGTATAAAATGCTAAACAAGAGTCCCTGGACTAATGCCCAGAACTGCTTGCTCCTGCAAAAATTCACAAATTCCAGTAACAGCTCTGCTACGATGACATGTAGAAAGCCTCATACCTTTCCTTGGGAAGGAGCATGGAGTTCACCAAAGTAGGGTTCTTCAATCTTCAAGCTGATCTTTGAGCCCTTCATGGGTCTGAAGCTGTCCTAAGCCTGCAGTGAGGAGCCAACCTTGTCTCCTGTGCATCCCTGTGCATCTGTCCCCACTGTGCTGGCTGCTCATGGCAAGCTGTTGTCTAAGGTCTTGAGCTGTCAGCCAGAAAACACCATATCAATATTCTGACCTCTATTCTTTTAGGCTGGGGAGTTTTGCATGACTTTTACGTTGAGCTGGCAGAAAAGCTGGGGCAAACAGGAAGAACAGTATTCCATAGACAATATGAGTTCAGCTATCCACTAGAGATAGTCTGTAAAGCAATAGTTTAAAGAAACCAAGCAAAACTACAACACTTTCACGGTACTGTAATATTTATAATGTGCATTTAAATCACATCTTGAAATTTCTGCTAAGTTGATACTTGACACTTCCTTTCCTAATGAAATCAGCTTAAAAAAAGCACGCTAGAATTAAGGAACCAAGAAAATAGTCAACATGGTACTTCAGTGTTAGGTATAACACTGCCAATAAATTATGAAACTAGAGACTACAGCTTCCAGAAAAGTTTAATTTATCAACAAACACCAAGAAATGCCAAACCATTAGTAAGCAATATTGATGTGATTCAATGCTGTCTGATTTAAAAGACTCATCAGCCTTTTCAGCATTCTACACCTACTACTTAAACCAAGCACATTCTCAATAAAACAAAAGATGTTTTTCAGGTTTGCAAAGAACAGCCAAAAAGGAAGTTTCAAATAATCTGTAAAACTGTATATAACTTTCATGTATTTTCACAAATTTGTATTGGAAGAAATATGTAAATACATTGTAGATACATCATGCATATACTACAGAGGGAACATGATACCTATGTGGCAAGGATGTACCACAGGTATAGAAAATGGGATCTATAGGGAGGAGCAAGAGGTAAGAATATTCATCTTTTTCTGATGTACCAAAGGTTGAGTACAATTTCTGAAAAATCAGTCTAATCAAGAAACATCCCTTTAACCCTCAGGTGTGGCTACTTGTTTGATCTTGCAGTTTGAAGAGAAAAGAGATCATTTACCAAAGGTGTGAAGTCCTAAACAAAATTCTCATGGAATCAGAAGAGAGAACACATAATATCAAAATGTTAACTCTTCTTTTTTCCATGTAAAAAAATCATGCCCACAGTTATGTTCTATATCAAGTGAATTTCCAGTTGCTCAAAATATTTTATTTTCTCAGAAAACAAAGCTAAACACCCTCCTCCCCCCGCCCCCAATTTTATCATTTCTTACTACACTGGCTACCGAAGCCTGAGGCCAGGTACTCACATTACCATGTAAACAAAGTGCTGGAAAGTTAGGCAAGCTCTTGCAAAGATCTGCAGTAAATTCATACTTCTACAGAGTTTTCTTTAATTTAAGTGCAAGGAATCCAACCTGCTGGCACAGAGGGCATGGTTCCTGAATATGATTTCCAGATTAAATTTACAGCCTGGGCAATAACCACCTGCAGTCAGCTTTAACCTCTGCGGCTAAATGCTAACTGGCATCACTCATTCAAGTTCTTCCAAAGATTCCTCAGAAGTTTCATCCAAATTCAATTTTCTTCACATTCAGTGCTATAAATGTCTCTAGAGTTTTGTTGCATACTTTTAAATAGCTGCCAGAAGAAACTGCACTCCCACGATACAGAGCATAATCTGTTTGCATGGTTTATAAATACTTCCATAGCCTGTGGAATGGGGACTATTTTGTCAGAACAAAATTAAATTGGTAAAATGGCTGGAGAGTCATTCCAGGTACAAAATGAATGAATTCGGTGCAGTTTTCAATCTCATATTAGTATCTGGCTATACAAAGATGAAGTGTTAAAAAAAGTGTCCTGCCACTTTTAAAACACAAGTGCACAGTTTAAAGACCCAAGTTACCATCTCTTGCATGTTGACTGCAAACGTTGTAAATTATGATTGTCTCAGAGGCAAAAGCATATATTAGCATCCTGGCTTTTCACAAACATACTGTACGTAACTATTCTACAGCAAACTGAGTGCAGGGAAAACAAAACAAAACCAACTTCTGAATGTGTCTTTCAGTACCAGAAAGAAGGAAAAAAACCAAACACTGTATTGTTTATGTGTTACAGGGAAAATGTTCTATGTATTACAAATAATAGAAACCAATGAAAAAGATTTTTGTCTGAAAAAATGCCTTACCTTGAGAAGTTGAGGAAATGAACATGTCTAGTGAATAAATAGGGCTGCTCAGCAGTGCTTATGTTTTTAATCAATTCCATCTAAAAAGAATTAACAAATCAAATTTTCTGTGTTATGTCAATGCACATTTTGGGACAAATATAAAAATTTAAAACAGCATATGATGATACAACTTCTAAGTCTGAATTACTCAGGACCTCCTTCCCTACTATCCCTCCAAAACACTGTCATCAAGATAGCACAACTACTTTTTTATGTCTAAGCAAGAAAGTAGAATGCTGTCTGCAGCTTAACTATCATGGAGCTTATGTACTTCCAAAGGTGAGTATAAATTTAAGGAAAGGCATCAACTAAAGGAAAAATCTAAACTCTGCCTAAATCTGCACCAGAGCTTTGCAAGCGGCAGCTGCCCTCTTGAAAACCCTAGCTCTATTCACACCAATGCCAAAAATGTTAAATGTCTGAAACTGTAACAGAAAGTGGGAGCTGAGCCAATGACCATTTTCATATAACAATAAAACCTGCCAACTTCGCCAAAACGTCGATTGATTTGCCTGTTTAAATATAGAAATCAGCACTTGCTATTCTTTTTGCTATTACATCAAATTAGGAGCACAAATTAAATGGGCACTTTCAAAAAGATATTGCTAAATTCTAGGTCAAGCACATTCACATAATTTTAATTTTTTAAAAATAAGTGAATAACTTAAATTTTCAGATCATTGACATGGAATAACGTAAACAGCACCATGGATATGAATATCTATTTTGTGTAAGCTGAGCTCTAGCTATGATTTACAGGAAACTGAAACTGTCTAGTGAAGCATTATGCTACAGAGTCAGCATTTCAGTTAATTTTGCTTCCGTCTTATTAATTTCCTAAGATTTATTTTTGGATTTTCTGTTCTGCATGCAAATGCAGGCTACTTTATGGACACTGAACACAAATGCATTTGAAATGACAGGTTTATTGATTTTACAAACTGGGTAGTAGAAAGCAATTAATAAATTGGGAAAAAAAAAGAGATAAGACAGTGTGAACCAAATATTCTGGTTGGGATAATATTAATTTATGTACTAAATTTAAACACCATTAAGGAAACATTAATTAAAAAATTTATTTCTTAAAACTTGAATGCTATAGCTGACATAAACAAAACATGAAAAATATGGAGTCCAGCCTGTTATGTGGTCAAGATAAAGCAACTGGCATGTAATAAGTTACTAGAATCAAAAAGAGCATAGTAAAAAATTACATCCACGCCATAACAAATACTAAATTACATTTAAGGACAACAATTGCCATTTTTTTGCGCTTTATTTCCCGGGTTCAATACGCTGATATTTTGCCACGGCTTTTTTACACTGTGTATCACATCTTACTGCTTCTCATTCATCTTTCACTCTCCACCTTTTTGTAGAACACATACCTGTCTTCTTCTTTCAGACAACACAAGCTACAGCCATTTAACTTCTAGCATTAAATGAAATGTGCACACACTAATATGCTTTTCCCTATTTTTCCACGGCTTTCAACAGTTTTATACATATACATGTATGATGTATATGTATCATAACAGTACAAAACAGTTCAGCTTGCCCATTTTCTTATCGTGGAGCTTTTCCTGTCAAAGTAGTTAGAGTACATCAAGGTATATTAGGTACAGATCTTATACATCAAGGCGTATTAGGTCTGAGAAAGTATATCAAGGTATATTATATGTGAAAAAGGCTGTAAACCCAAAGAAATGGAACATAAAGAAGACAAGATGAAAAAAATAAAGACAATATAAAGGGAAAAGAGAAACAAGAGAACATGCAGAGAAGATGTACAATTAAAAAAAGAAGAGGCAGGGAGGGAATAGTGCCCCTGCTTTAGTTAGTAATTTATGGACTCTGGACTGTTTGATTCAAGTACAAACAGGTCTTTACACAGCTTCTTCAGTATAATATAAATGCTATGGGCAAGAAATTCATAAACCTGAAGAGCAAAGCTTGTCCAGATCAGAATTAGAAAGCCCAGGAAGCTTTGCGATAATTTGCACAAAGGAATCAAGTATTGTTTATTGATGCTCTGAAGAGACAAAGACTTTCCTAGCAAACCCAACATGCTTACATTTCTTTAAGACTGGTAACTCTGCCAAAAAATTTTATTCATTCATCTTACAGAATCAAACATGGGGAGACTCTAGAGGTTGTGTATCAGATACCTCAATCAGATTTTTAATTTTTTTTTTTCTCAGACAAGTTACAGGAGAAGTGAAATTCTCAGAACTGTATGAAGCTTTATGTTATATTTGTCATTTTACCTGTGTTACTCTATCTGCATGAAGTAAGGAAGGAAGATGGCAGAAGGAAGTTACTGATATGGGATAAAAACTCTGTTCGTGCAACTATGGTCATCACTGTAATTCCATCTTGGAATAAATGAAGAAACATCATTAGAGTATAATTATGGAGATATAAAGATACTGTACCCATACTAAGTAATCCCACTAAGTTTAAAAAGACAGGCAGCTTTAGTATAATACTGCTACATGAATGTAGCAGGAAGTATATGTGTGTTACGAAGTACCATGCAAGTATCAAGTACCAAGCTTATGCCAGGCAGATTCATATTACACCACCACTATGTTTCACACTGTATTTCGTCTGATGTCAGTGCAATGCACACATCAACCTGCTGCTGGACAAGCACAGGCACTTTGGCCTCAGAAGCAAAGGGAGGCTGGAAAGATGCACAGAGAGCAGGACAGCATCTGGCTCCTGGCTTTTTTTTAATCTCTTGCTATCAAACTCAGTCTCTTGAACTATGATACTAGCTTACTCCAAAGTAGACACAGATTTTTGTTTTGACTTAAAGTACCTTCATATTTAGATACTTAATGATCAACTGGACTTGTAAGCAGATGTGGATAAAGCTACAATGTGCACAAGAACAAACAAGCAAAACTCGATCTTTTAAAAACCCTGCCAAAAGGGTAAGTAAGGCTCAACTGAAACAAAACACAAATGTCAGGAGGGAAAAATAAATAACTGTAATGGCTCATGGCCACATGCAAATTGTGGCTGTATTTCCCATGGGCCTCTCTCGCTCTCTGATCCCGCTGTGCTGAAATCACTTCAGTTTAACAAACCAACTGTATTGCTCAGGAATACCTAGTGATCCACCTCTGCTTTTAAGATGATGGTAACGAGGAAAAAAAAAAACAAAAATCTTCCAATGTATCCCAGAAGAGTAAGGTCTCTAATGGTTTTGGTTGGTTGGTTGGTTTTGGTTGCTAGATTTTTTTTGTTTGGTTTGATATGTTTTTTTTTTTTGGTGAGGGGGGGGGTTTATTTTGTCTTGTGGGTTTTTTTTTTTTAATTTATGAGTGCAGAAGATCCACAGAGAGGAACAGTGAGCAGAGGATGAGAGCTGAGGAAAACAAGTATTTTGGATGGAATGAGTGGTGAAGAAGAGTTACGTACAAGGAGACATGATCTAGGGTCATCCTATGTTTGAAAAAAAATTATTAGGAACAAGCCGCACAAGATAAACAACCCTGGCAAACACAGCTGGGGGAGAGATGAACTAGAACACATTCATGGCTGGAGGGAGAAGCTGTAGAAATATAAGGAGAAGTCTGAAAGGAGCACACACCTTCTAGGATAAGGGCCCATAAAGAGCTATTTCTCTCTCACTGCTGCCCAGAGCTCTCCTGCAGGAGTTAGGCAGTTTCAGTGAAACAGCACTGAAAAATATACTAATTTGCTCTTGAAATTAACTAAATTGCACCACAGAGTTAATGCTGCTAAAGAAGGATTCAGGGAGAGGGAAATGACAGGACATGGAGAGTGTGTGTGGAAGCAAACCAAAGTAGTGGGTGCGCTGTGCTCCCCAAGGAAAGGGGAGCATGCACACTGCATGATTGAAGTTTGCAGAGATGCTAGGCCACAGCAAGCAGTTGCCAAGACCTCTGTGGGGTGGTCAACACATCTGCTGTTATTCCACTCACCCCCCCTCAAACACCAATTAATTTTAAGGAACAGAGTCTTTCCTTATAATAACACCTTTCTACCACTGTGACTGCTTGCTTAATCTTTTATTCTAATATTTTTCTCCTTAATTCATATTCTGCACTGACTTTTAATCAGGCCCTTTAAAGAAGATGAGATCCACAGCGGCAATCCTGTAAATCACAAGATAGTTTTGAATCTTAAAGCCCACCTGAGCAAGAACACCAAGAGGCAATACTCTAAGAGGAAAGGTTTTTCCTTAGTCTGCTGTCCTACACTACCACTGTAGGATCTCAGTTGGCCATACAAAAGAAATCAAACTGTAATTGCTCAGCATCATCCGCGTACTTGTAACGGGCTGGTGCTGCATTGCAAGTAACACTCCAGTAGATGGCACCGTGAAGTGACTCCAAGAGGGCTGGAGGGGGCCCTCCCCAAGAGGGAAGAAACGTGGAGGATGGATTTTCTTGAGCCAAAGCATTGTTTCTGCACAAAAACTCAACTCCGGCCTTTGAGAGAGGACACTTTTCCCTCTTCTGGAAATGGCCAGCCCCTGTGCTGACTGCTCAGAGCAGTCCTGTTTTGTTTGAGATTTGCAGTAAGTAAATTCAACTGGGGACAAAAAGAAAATCAGATAATAATCCCACCCAGACAACAGCCAAAATGTTACTACTTTTTTTTAAGATGTTGTATTTCACTGGGAGAATTCAAGGTCCAAATGGGATTTTCCAAGTGAGGTCTACTGGATCACACTATAGTCTCCACTAATATTGACATAAAAAGGACAAAAAAATTTCTCTATATCAGTCTTTCTTGGGAGTTCTTTACCTTCTTCCAATGCTTTCAGTCTCTACTGAAGGCATGTAGGGCTCAGGAAGCACAAGTATCTACAGGAATTTTGGTATATCACTTTCATCTCAGTACTCATTTCCATAAACAACTCCCAACTCCCAGGAACGAGACTAGACCTTCATTTTCAGCTCTCAAAAGTTTGGAATGGTTTCAGGAATTTCTTCACCTCCCCAGGCTGGTATGACCAATTTTCTGTCTTGAAAAGCATTTAAGAAAAATTAGTGATGAATTTTTAATGTGTCAAACTGGAATTACATACTAAGTTGGCTGCACGGTCATAACATTGGGTGGTAGAAGGAAACAATATGAGGATAAACTACCAATTACTCCCGTATGTGACTGGTGTTTGTATATTTATAAGCATACTCATTCTTACTTCCCCGAATGCAAGAAAATGGGAGTGGGAAACAAAGTCATGGAAGGGGAAGATTTCATTTTGCAGCAGTTTATGTGGAGTTTTAAAGCCACAACAATTAGATTAACTTTAATACTACATATTATTTTCTGTATTCAATTTACTTGGAAGTACTATAGCAAATGGTAAGGCACATACTAACTCATCTCTTTCCAGACCTCACTCCCTTATGCCCACAGATGTTCAAAGGCTGCATTTCTAATTGCTGGCAGACAGACATAACTTGGGAAAATTTCTTAGTAGGAAGGAGACTCGAAAAGGCAATGAGGATATGGATTCCAGTTATGTGCAATCCCCACAGTCATTAAGAACACCTACATGCTTAATTTTATTTAACAACAGCAGATTGCATAAGCTAAATATTTACAGAAAAGTCTTGGCTGGATCAGGGCTTTAATCAAACACAGGACAGACAAATGACAGAAGGAAGAGAGACATATCTCAAGCGAGAAGCCCATGCTCATGCCGGAAGCCTTCATCCCAGCCCAGCTCTCTTTTTTCTTGTTCCAATGCCTGGAGCCGGAGATCATCCATTCTTTCAACTTCCTCTTGTGTACACCACATTAAAGGTGAAAAAAGTACTTCTTTTTTTTTTATATTCTGTTCTTAAAAATTGAGAAGACAACTAAAAATGCCCTGAACAACAGATCAGTTACTGTCTTCAGGCATGTTTCCTGGTGATCAAAGGCACTTTTCAGCAAAAGTACTCATTAAATTATGAATCTATTGTAATTCCATAAATAAACCATAAATGAAAATAAAGAGACTCAAGTTATAGTAGGGCAATCTATAGAGTAAATCATCAGCTCTGTAGCAATACTTCCAGCACATTTACTGTCTAGTAAGCGAAGAGCTTAGGGAGTGCAAAAGGTAATGCAGATAGTTATCCTTTGTCAGTGTATAGGTAAAAAGTAAGTCTGGGCCTCTCTGGAATCTCCATATGCTGGACTAAAGCACAGAAGATTGCTAAGATGTGATCATGTGTCATGTTTCAGTAAAGGACAGTACACCTACCAGAGAAAGACAGAGAACAGAACTGAAAGGAAGAAGCTGATAAGGGTGAAAGCTGGTGATTATTAATACCTGAAAGGTTTCTGAGTTTTATGATGTGTCCCAATTAGTAAGGGAAATTGATGAAAGATATAGACAAACAAAACCCAAACAACCCAAAACATAAAAGCAGCCATACCCAACCAGACAGCAATCCCAACCGGACAGCCTCTGTAGTACAGGATAGTTTGGCTCCTTTCTGATGGAACCATTTTGCAAACGTGGCTCTGTGGCACTGCTGGTAGGATACACAGAGGAAATCTGCAGCAGCCACAGCCCATGCCTTCCCTTGGCCATAAGCAGGGGCAGTGAGGGGACACTGTCCTCCCCTACATCCTTTCACTGGCATCTAACATGCAACTGTACATAGCAGCCACCTTTGGGCTGGTGTGGCAGCCCTGGCCAGCTGGTCACAACCTTGGGCTCAACTTGACTGTCATGTGGTGTTAGATCAGCTGGCTACTGGTAGGACCCCAATGGACACCGTGAAAGGGAGGAAGGTGGGACCTACAGGAGCAATATCAGCTCCTAAATTTTCATTTCCTAAACTGCTGCATCTAAAATAAAAAATTTATGCTCATAAGCAGGCTACAAATAAATGAGCCCAAATCACAGCACAATGCCACTGGCAGGCCCACATCTGTATTTTGATCGTCACACACATCCTTTTGGTGGTTTGCAGGCTCCATTCCTGGGAGTGACACAGGCATTTATTGCAGCCTTTACCTGATCAGCAGCTCAAAATAGCAGCAGTGGGCAATGTGTGTGGCATCTGACTACACACACATGCTTTGGAGTCTGTTTTTTTTGCATTACTTGTATCAATATCTGCTTATGGGAGTGATACTTACAGAAGGCACATGGTTACTCTGAATAGAAGAAAATTTAAATAACTGGATCTTTTATAGAATCAAAGCTGCAACAATAATGCCTTCTACAACTTTAAGGGAACATGAAACATGTGAAGAAGTGTTCCTGGATAAAGAGGAATAATGTGCTATTTTCACTTCCTGTAGTGAGGGTTGTGTGATAACATGAAAAAGGCAGATAAGCAAGAAGCTGAGATAGGATCAAGGGCATGTCAGATTATAGCAACATGGGTTAGCATGGCATGGGGAAATAACTTTTTGAAGCAACTGCTTACTAAAAGTGAGTTAAGAAAGTCATCAAAAAAGACCCTTTTGGCTATTATTTACTCCTGCTCTGCTTAAGGAGACCCAAGCTAGGTCTGAATAGGCTGGCCTGGTTATATGATAAATGGTTGTGTCCTGCAGATACATTAATACGCATCCCAGATGCTGTTAGCACTTCACTGGTACTAACCTTTCTTGCCTTGCTGGTAGTCTAACTGCTGCGCTGACTAAATTCAAAGCTGGCTCATCAAAAGTTAGTTTTTCTGGTTAGCTTCCACATCATGTTGTTCTTGGCTCTACCATCCACTTCTCCTATTAAATGAAGTCACTTAGAGAATGATGAATTCTGGATAATCACTCAGGTCAAAGCAGCAATACATCTTTTCAATAGGACTTCTGCTAGCATATGCCTTTGCTTCTCAGTTTCATAAACATAATAGGAAAAACTGATCTAAGAGGAGCAGGAGTAACTTACCTGTTCATTTTTGGTCAGTCTTGTTTTGTTATGAATGTCAGATGTAACCAGATTGAATCCATGTTTCTCTGATAAAATTCTCAAAAGTAAAACCACAGTTCGACTCCCACACTTTCCCACTCTGTTGTAGACCACCTGACTGGGGAAAGGAAGTACCTAAATAAAGATTGAAAAAAATGGAGTCAGTATATTGACATTTTTGTTTCCATGTATCTTGAGTAACACAATGTTTTGACCTGAAGCCAACACACACATGCAGGAGAATTCCTAGGGCCCTGCCCAGGTCAGAAGCGTTCACTTCCTCTAACAAGCCAGGAGCTCTTCAGAATAGAAACAACATGGCTCAGGAGATGGCAAGGTGAGATTTCCCCTTCATGATCCAGTTAAATGTAACAGATTGGCAGCTACTCCAGGAACACTATGCAACTGCTACAAGCTTGCTGCTTGTAATATCAATGCAAATAGTCAGCTTTAGTTGACTATCTCCCATAAAAAGAATGGAGTGAATCTGTGCCACAGTTTAGCAACTCAAAGTGAAGTTGACATAATGCAAGAGGAATGCTCGTATTGCAAAACTTCATCTTAAAAAGAAAAGAACCCCAAACAACCACCAGTTGTACAAAGCTAAAATTAATCAACTATTTCAATTTCAAATATAAACATGAATCTTCCAAAGAGATTCAGAGAACAAATCATGCCACTGGCTAGGGATATACTTGTGGAATGAAAAACGCCAGTGCTACAGGTGGCCTGAGGCCAACTGGCACAGTCTGATCACCTCCACACAGGTAATGTGCACTAAAACTGAAAACACAACAGTTACATCCAACCTGGACACTGGGAATGTTCTCCTGCCCACACAAACTCTTGCACCATGCTCTCCTCCCTGGGAAACCAGAACAAGCGAGTAGTAATTCACTGCCTCGAAATACATTGGATGCAGCCTTATTTTATTCCTGGATGATGACCATGGGCTGTTTTTCCACCAAAATGCATTCTGAAATCACACTATCACACTAGACAAGTATTTGATGTATAGCATATAGCAGCAGCATCTGATAGTATAGGCCAAGAGGAAACTGTTTTCAAGCTTCTTAAAGCCAGGAGCTCACAGTTTCATCCACAGCAGTGCATATATGGCACTTAAGAAAAAAGATCATTTTTCTATTAAGACAATGGCACAAAATGTTTCCTGACACAGGGCCTGCACCCAGGTTCCAGACAACCTGTGTTCAGCGCAAGGAACGGCCAAAGTGGTGATGTGTCTCAATCTATATCTACTTCTGCTCTTGATGCAATCACATTCTCCCAGCAGAAGAATTTATGACATAAAACCAGTCAGATGAAGCATATGGCACTTCTCAGGGTATTCAAACAGCTAATAGATCTTCATCAGGGAAGCAAAATGATTCCTCAAGGCACCCTTCAGACTACTTTCACAGAGGACAGCTAACTAGAAAGAAAAAAAAAACAACCCTGTATTCTGTTATTTTTAGTAGGACCTTACTGGCACTTTGCTGTCAATGTTGTATTTCATGACCAAATGAACATTACTGTTGTTACTGGTTGGAATGTTTAGGATATCCTTCACTGCAAAATAAATGGGGAAGCCATCATTCTCCACATTACTCAGGGAGGGGGTAGGTATTGGGTGATCATGGCCTCAGTTAACAGCCTTCCAAGCTGCAGGACATCACATCTGCTGATTCAGCAAGCAAATATGGGTCTCCTAAGGCTCATACAAACCCCACGTAAGGTATCAAGTCTGGCCACTTTGTAACATTTTTATGGTGTTTTCTAGGAGAAACCGAGTTCCCTTATTCCTTATCAATCTCTTTCAGAAGACTTGCTTCCTAAGAAATGCAAAATCTGAGCCTCAATTATTAGAGAACTCCTAAGGTGATGAATTTGACATCTCTATGCTACAGCTGTAGCTAACTTTTTCCAAAACTACTGCTAGTAATTTCTGAAAGGTTAACATTTGAATGCATTCTATTATGCTGATTACCACATCAGGGACACCATCATCATCATCATCATCATGGCTAGGCTTCGCGAACGAAGATTTGGGAAGGGCTCTACCCACGTTTTTTGCAAGCGCGTTGGTGGCTAAAAAGGCCAATACGAGAAAGGCATGTCCGGTTGCAAAAGGCACAGCAGAAAGACTCCTTGGATGGTATATTCTGCAAGGCTCGATTCTTTCTGCGTTGTCTTTTCTCCTCAAGAGTGATCCTGCGTGCTTTCTCAAAAGCATCAGCAGCATTACAGATAGTGTGTCTCCAGGCCTCCCGATTGGAGGCCAGAGTAGACCAGTTATGGTGATCAATATGCCCGAGGCTGAGTTGTTGTTTCAGGGAGTCCTTGTATCTTTTCTTCAGGGCTCCTCTCTTGTGGCAGCCAGTGGCAAGTTCACCATAAAGCAGGATCTTAGGGAGGCGGTGGTCCTTCATCCTGGAGACGTGCCCTGCCCAGCGCAGCTGCGTTCTCAGTAGCATGGCCTCAATACTTGTGATTGCTGCCTGTTCAAGAACAGATGTGTTGGTTACATAGTCTGACCAGTGGATGTTTAGGATTGTACGGAGGCAGCGTTGATGGAAGCGTTCTAGGAGACGCAGGTGGTGGCGGTAGATGACCCATGATTCGGAACCATATAAGAGAGTTGACAGCACAATGGCTCTGTAAACACTGATCTTTGTGCTTTTCTTCAGGTGTTTATTACGCCAGACTCTTTTATGGAGTTTTCCAAAAGCACTATATGCCTTCGCTAACCTGTTGTCTATCTCCCCGTCAATCTTACCATCCGAGGAGATGAGGCTGCCTAGGTAATTGAACTGCTGGACTGATTTGAGTTCTGATTGGCCAATGGTGATGTGGGGATGATGGGGGACTTCCTGAGGTGCAGGCTGATGGAGAACTTCTGTCTTCTTTAAGCTGACTTCCAGCCCAAAGAGCTCAGCAGCATCTGCAAAGCAGGATGTTAAACGCTGCAGGGCTGCTTCTGTGTGGGCAACAAGGGTGGCGTCATCAGCGTAAAGCAGCTCCCGGACAACATGGTTTAAGGTCTTGGTGTGAGCCTTCAGTCACCTTAGGTTGAACAGGCTTCCGTCAGTACGATATCGAATGTAGATACCATCCTGATCATCGAGGTCTGCCGTGGCCCTTTGGAGCATCATGCTGAAAAAGACTGTGAATAGGGTAGGAGCGAGAACGCAGCCTTGTTTCACACCATTCTTTATTAGAAAGGGCTCAGAAAGTGTGTTGCCATATCTGACTTGGCCGTGCTGATCCTCATGAAGAGAGATGATCATTTGAAGGAACTTGGGGGGACAACCTAAACGTTCCAAAATCTGCCAAAGACCTTTTCTGCTCACAGTATCGAAAGCCTTGGTGAGGTCGACAAAGGTTACATAGAGACCTTTGTTCTGTTCCCTACACTTCTCTTGCAGTTGTCTGAGAACAAATATCATGTCTGTGGTGCTCCTGTTGGCTCTGAAACCACACTGACTTTCAGGTAGAATTCCTTCTGCTATAGCGGGTATTAGTCTGTTCAGGAGTATTCTAGCCAGGATTTTGCCAGCAATGGAGAGCAGAGTAATACCACGGTAATTTGAGCAGTCTGATTTAGTACCCTTCTTCTTATACAAGGTGATGATGACTGCATCACGAAGATCTGATGCTAGTTCCCAGCAGCGCACCACGAGCTCATGAAATTTAGCATGGAGTGCAAGGCCCCCATGTTTCCAGACTTCAGGTGGGATTCCATCAACCCCAGCTGCCTTGCCGATTTTCACCTGCTGTATGGCCTTGAGGGTTTCTCCTAAAGTGGGAGCAGTATCCAATTTGTATTTCACTGGTTGTTGTGTGATGGACTGAATTGCTGAGTCTTGGACTATACGGTTGGTACTGAAAAGAGTTTGAAAATGTTCAGACCATCGATTCAGAATGGAGGTTTTATCTGTCAGAAGCGTTTGACCATCTGCACTGAGTAGAGGGCTTTGGACTTGGTATGTAGGCCCGTATGCTGTTTTCAGAGCCTCATAGAATCCTTTATGATCCCCTGTATCTGCACATAGTTGAGTTTTTGCAGCTAGATCGATCCACCATTTGTTCTGGATGTCACGGAGTTTCTGTTGGAGCTTGCTGCATGCAAGATGAAAGGCTGTTTTTCTTGCGTGACAGGAAGGCAGTGCAAGGTGTGCTTGGTGGGCAGTTCTCTTCTTCCTCAACAAGTCCTGGATTTCTTGGTTGTTTTCATCAAACCAGTCCTTGTTCTTCTTGAGGGAGAACCCTAAGGATTCTTCAGAGGATTGCAGGATGCAGCTTTTAATATGATGCCAAATTGTTTCAGGAGAGGAATCTGCAGAATCTGTGGAATGGTTTTCAAGCCTAGTTTGAAGGTTTGCCTGGAATCTTTCTCTTACTGTGGCTGATTGGAGATCGTTAACTTGGAGTCTTCTCCTTGGGATACTGCCCCTTTTGGGTTTGAATTTGAGATTGAAGTTGAGTTTACAGCGCACAAGCCGGTGGTCTGTTTGGCATTCTGCGCTGGGCATCACGCGGGTATGGAGGACATCGTGGACATCTCTCCGTCGCACCATAACAAACAAGAAAACACAGCCCTATTCTGGATTGTCCCCTTTTTGATTAATTCCTTCACATAACAAACACTAGCATCACTATTTGTCATGGCCCTGCAGCACCATCCACACAACATCACTGTAACTTGTGGAAGTGGAATTTATCCTCTGCTCAGACATACACCTTTGGCATACTTAGCTGTACAAGTATGTGAAAGCTTTCAAGAGAAATGGTAAGTAGATGCTCACAAGTGCCAGTGAAGGAGCAAGACTCATACAAGCCTGTGTTTGCTTAGCATCCTAGAAATGAGATAAATGACAAGAGTTTGTAGGGCTATGGACATATTTAAAAATGCTTCACAATTATAAACTGCTTTGATTTTCCTAGCAGAGTTGCACTTTGTAATGTAGTGAGCAAAAGTTTTTCTTCATTAGTACTTCATTTAACTCCAGTTTTGCTGCACTCAGATTACATTCAAGTTCTAATTAAATCCTTGACTTGATTATCCAGTAACCTTGGGTGAATCTTATTAATATAACTCTTTTAAAAGGAAATAAAATTAAAGCAGGCCTTGGCAA